AGCTGTTGCAACTGCTGCCTCAGAAGTTTCAGCCAAAGATGCTGTCTGAGTTCACAGAGGAAAGAGTTGTGGAATCAAAGATGCAGCTTTGTGAACTTGGGACTGGCTGTGAATTTAGTGGATGGTTTGCTAAACATCTCTCCTCAGGAGCCTTTAAATATGGATTAATTTGTCTTATTAGAGAGAATTCTCAAGGCAAAATAACACAAGAAGATGCTTCTAAAATGTGTGAGAAGACTTTTGGCAGTATACAAATTCTGTGCTGCAAAACTTTGGAAACAACACTCTGGCTCGATAAACAGCCACTTCCCAAAACTGATGAAGAAACTGATGTTTTTGTGGAACGAGAGCAACAAGGGTGTACCTTTTACTTAAAGCACAATGATGACATGGCTCTCAAGGTAATAAATGAAGTCATCATGACACTGACAAAGGAGATTAATGTTCTTTTAGGAAACAGAATTGCATCGGGTCACCTTCCAGTGCTGGGACAACTCCTCATGTGTGACGATCTGCAAGATGTTCGGAAAACTCTGGCTAAAAATCAGATCCGTGACAGTGCTGAAACTGAAAGTTCCTCTTTTAGTCCAGCAGCCCCTGGGACAGAGATCCCAGAAGAATGGCATGATTGCTTGGACATGAATGTCCTCAACAACTTTGAAGAGGAGGAATATGTCGGCTACAGCATTGATGACAAGTACATTTATGCAGTTATCGTTGAAGAACTGCCTGGTCACAATGGACGATATTCATGGAGATACAAAATAGATATTGGAGAAGATGAGCCCATTGAAGTCAGCTGTGTTGATCTGTTTCAGTTTAAACGAGAAAAGAAGGTAAAAACAGAAAGGAGGAAATGCATGGAGCCAGGACCACAGAAGAAGACGCTAAAACCAGAAGAAAACACTTGCATGGAGCTGGAACCACTGACAGGAGCTGTGCCACATTCTTCTGAATTATCAACAAATTCTTTACCGGCCTCTGTTGAGGAAGCTAAAAGGGAAATTGATAAATGTTTGGCAGAGATCTGGAGGCTTCCTGAGGAGGAGAGGCACAAAGCCATCAAGAGACTGTACCTCAGGTGGCACCCTGACAAAAATCTGGATTGCCAGTCTCTCGCCAGTGAGGCATTCAAATATTTACAGAATCAAATTGATGAGCTCAGCAAACCCAAAGCTGCAGGCTCGACCTTTTCAAGCAGAAACACATATTTCAGAGGCTTCTATGAAGAGTGGAATCAGGAGGCCAGGTATCACAGAAATACTCGAGAGAGGTTCTCTAGAGGCTATAGAGGTTTCCATTCCTACAACTTCTGGACCCACAATGAAAATGTCCCAAGGCCAGACAGAGAAGAGGCCAGACGCTGGTGTAGACAGGCTCGCTGCGATCTCAATGCAGCTCACAAAGACACTGGTGGAGGGAGCACAGAGTGGTGTCTGTTTAAGGTCCAT